AGGTCCTTTTCTCTTTTCTTTTTTCTTTGATCTCTTTGGGATGCGGACCCAGAAATGGTGATACTGAGGATGCCAGTTTTATAGCCTGTTAGGCATAGTTTGGAATTATTTCCCAGAGTGTTTGGACTAGTTCACAACTCCATCAACAGCGCATTAGTATCCCAGTTTTTCTATATCCCCTGCAGCATTTGTCATTTTCCTTTTCTGTTATAGCCAATATGATTGGTCGTTGTCCTTCATTCTTGAAGAGGACCAAAATGACATCACCGTGTTAGAGTTAAGTTACAATGTGTCTGACTGTGGCTGATCGGACTAATAAGCTCAGAATGCACTGCCACAGGTCAGGCACAAATGGTCCATGTGAACATTTGAGGTGGATTCTCTGAATTTGCTTATCTTGCATTTCTTTTGAGCTACTTCAGTTCTTCTCACGGAGCACAGCACCTTCTCTGATAAGGGCATGCAATGCTGGGGCGGTCCAGTGCCTATTTTTAGTTTTCAACATTCACTTTTATAAGATTTTGAGTTCTAAATTCCCCTCCCCTCCACTCCTTCCTCCCCAAGACAGCATGCAGTCTGATATGAGTTATACATGTATGATCATATTAAACATATTTCCACATCAGGCATGTTGTGAAAGATGAATCAGAACAAAAGGGAAAAACCATGAGAAAGAAAAAACAAAAACAACAAAAAGAAAGAAAATAGTATGCTTCAATCTACCTTGAGGCTCTATAGTTCTTTCTCTGGATGTGGATAGCATTTTTTTTTTTTTGGTGAGGCAATTGGGGTTAAGTGACATACCCAGGGTCACACAGCTAGTGAGTGTTATGTGTCTGAGTCTGGATTTGAACTCAGGTGCTCTTGACTCCAAGGCCAGAGCTCTATCCGCTACTCCACTTAGCTGCCCATGGATAGCATTTACCATCATGAGTCTTTTGGAATTGTCTTAGATCATTGCATTACTCAGAAGTGCTAAGTCTAACGAAGTTGGTCATTGCACAATTTTGCTTTTACTGTGTACAGTGTTCTCCTGGTTCTGCTCAGTTCATGCACGTCTTTCCAGGTTTTTCTGAAGTCCACATGCTCACTATTTTTTATGGAACAGTAGTATTCCATTACATTCCTATACCACAACTTATTCAGCCATTCTTCAATTGATGGGCATCCCCATGATTTCCAATTCTTTGCCACCACAAAAAGAGCTGCTATAAATATTTTTGTACGTGTGGGTCCTTTTCCCTTTTTTATGATTTCTTTGGGCTACAGACTTAACAGTACTATTGCTGGATCAAAGGGTATGCACAGTTTTATAGCCCTTTGGGCATAGTTCCAAGTTGCTTTCCAGAATGGTTGGATCAGTTCACAACACCAAAAAGATTCTAAAGTTCTTAAGAGGGACCTTGAGAGTGTCCTTGTGTAGCTTTTTCTGACCACCATGTGAGTGCTTGCCTTGTGTGAGTTCTCCGTAAAAGTCTTTTAGGCAAGTGTATGTTTTGGCATCAGAACAACATGGACAGCACGTTGTAGTTGTGCTCTCTGTAATAGAGTTTGCTTGGCAGTCTAGTTTAAGAAAGGGCTTCAGTGTCTGGTCCTTATACTGCCAGGTGATCTTCAGAACCTTCCTGTTGAAATGGACAGTTCAAAGGGAAATGATTTGGTTTCCTGGCATGGCACTGGTATACTGTCCAGGTATAGGTATGAATGAGGTGGTACGTCAGAGTTGTTTTAATTTGAATTTCTCTAATCAGTAGTGATTTAGACAATTTTTTTCATGTGACTGTTGATAGCTTGGTTTTTTCATCCAAAAACTACCCGATCATATCCTTTGACCATTTATCAACTGGGGAATGCCTTTATCAGAGAAACTTGTAAAATGTTTTCCTGATTTTCTTCTCATTTTGGCTACTTTAGTTTGTATAAAAGCCTTTTAATTTCATGAAATCAAAATTACCCATTTTGCTTCCTGTGATCCTCTTTATTCTTGTGTTGTCATAAACTCTTCTTTTATGCATAGATCTGACAGAGACATTTTTCCATGCTTCCTTAATTTACTTAATGGTATCACCTTTTATGTCTAAATCATTTATCCATTTTGTGGTGTGAGATGTTGGTCTGCGCCTAGTTTCTGCCAAACTGCTTTCCAGTTTTCCCAGCCATTTTTGTTGAATGGTGAGTTCTTACTTCAAAAGCTTGGATTTTAGGTTTGTCAGACACTAGATTGCTATAGTCATTTACTACTGTGTATTGTGTACCTAATCTATTCTACTGATCCACCATTCTTATTTCTTAGCCAGTACCAGATTGTTTTGCTGATTACTGCTTTGTAATAGAGTTTGAAATTTGGAACTGCCAGGCCATTTTCCTTCACATTTTTTTCATTGATTTTCTTGACCTTTAGTTCTTCCAGGTGAATTTTGTTATTATAAGTCTTTGGTAGTTTGATTGGCATAACACTAAATAAGTAAATTAACTTAAGTACAGTTGCCATTTTTATTATGTTGGCTGAGCCTACGCATGAGCAAGTAATATTTCTCCAGTTGTTTAGATCTGTCTTTATTTGTGTAAAAAGTGTTTTTAATTGTGTTTATATAGTCTCTAGGTTTATCTTTACAAGTAGACCCCCAAGTATTTTATATTATCTGCAGCTACGTCATTTATTTATTTATTTATGGCTAGGCAATGGGATTAAGTGACTTGCCCAGGGTCACACAGCTAGTGTTATGTGTCTGAGGCTGAATTTGAACTCAGGTCCTCCTGAGTCAAGTCAAGTCACTGTGCCATCTACCTGCCCCTGCAGTTATTTTAAATAAGATTTCTCTTATTATCTCTCTTCCTGCTGGATTTTGTTAGTAGTGTAAAGAAATGCTGATGATTTGTGTGGGTTTATTTTATATCCTTTTGCAATGCTTTTTCCAATGAGGTATTTTACATTTTTTTCAGTTTTTTTCATTCTTTTGATTTGGTTGACTGATTCTTGATGTCTCATAAAGTAATTAGCTTTCACTTGCACAATTCTAATTTTTTAACAAATTGTTTTCTTCAGTTAGCTTTTGTAACTTCTTTTCTATTTTGCCAATTCTACTTTTTAAGGAGTTGTTTTCTTCAGTGTATTTTTTTTCTATCTTGTCAGTTGTGTTTTTAAAGCAATTGTTCAGTTTTTCTTCTACCTCTCTCATTAGACTTTTTAAATCCTTCCTGAGCTCTTCTAAGAAGGCTTTTTGGGCTTGAGCCCAGTTCACGTTCCCCTTTGAGGTTTTGGATGTGGGTATATTGACAGTGTTGTCCTCTTCTCAATTTGTGTTTTGCTCTTCCCTGTCCCCATAGTAAGAATCTGTGGTCTTGGTTTCTTCTTTGTTGCTTTTTGCTCATGGTGTTTGCCTTTTTCCTCGTTTTTGAAGTTGATCTCTGCTTCTGGGGCACAGGGGACCTTGTGCAATGCTTTTAATGACCCTAAGCTGCTTCTTGACCCACACATCCATCTTTTAGAAGCATATATTAACATCTTTTATTTTTATATTATCTCTGTTTCCCAGTATATTCCTCCTTCCACCCCATTCCCAGACAACCATCCCTTTATAACAAAGCATTAAAAAAAAAAGTTCAGCAAAACCAACATTTTTTTTAAAAAATTGTCATCTGTAGTAATCTATACCCTACCCTTATGTTCTCCACCTCTACAAAGAAAAGAGGGAGAAAAGTATTATCTCTTCTTTGGGGTCATACTTGATTATTACAATTTCACAGTGTTAACTTTCAAATGTTTGTGTGGTGTTCTTTCGATTTAAATTTTAGACACGGGATAAATTGTTCTAATTACATCACTGCATTAGGTCCTCGAAGTCTTCCCGTCTTTCCTGTATTCATGATAGTGATTGTTTCTTATGGTGTAGTAATATACCATTATACTAATATACTACAACTTGTTTAGCCATTCCCCAGTCACTGGCATCCACTTTGTTTTTAATACTATTATTCTCCTGATATAGCTGCAAATCTTAATGATTGAAGGTGCATTGCAGCCTTGAGCAAGCTGAAACATTGCCAGTAAAGAATTTTAAAAGAGAAATGGCATAAAAAGTATCAGTAAATAAGCATTTGCTAAGAGCTTACTGTGTGCTAGGCACTAGTGATGCAATAGCCCAAACTAAATAGGCCCTGCTTTCTTTTTCTGGTGAGGCAGTCGGGGTTAAGTGATTTGCCTAGAGTCACACAGCTTGTAAGTATCATGTGTCTGAGGCTGGATTTGCACTCAGGTCCTCCTGACTTCAGGGCTAGTGCTCTGTCCACTGGGCCACCTAGCTGCCTCCAGGCCCTGCTTTCAAGGACCTTGTATTCAATCAAAGGAAACGTGTTTACAGGATGAATACAAGGTAATTTATAGAGGAAGGTCACTAACAGCTGTGAGGATCAGGAAAGGCTTCATAGAGAAGTTAGTGCCTCAGCTGAATCTTGAAGGAAATAAAATATTGATGAGGCAGAACATTTGAGGCGTGGGCAATGACAATTGGGAAGACAGGAAAGGCAGGAAATGGAAGTCCATTTAAAACAGCAGGAAGGCCAGTGTGCCTAGTATGTAAAGTGCAGGAAGAGGAGAAATGTATAATAAGGCCAGAAAGGTAGTTTGAGGCCCAAGTATGAAGCCTTATCATCAGAAGGGTGGGTCAGTCATGAGGCAGGAGAAAGGAGTAAAAAAGTTGGACAGCACACATGCTTCCTTGATATCCAGTTAATATCAAGAAATTTAGAAGAATGCCCCCAGCATGCTGGATGCGGAAGATGTATAGGAAGACATGGATGGGTTGCAATCTGTAGCACTGAAAAGAATGCCTACATTGGTGAAATCATAGATCCATTGATGGCTCTACCTCATAATTGTCAAAATTGAATGAAATAATGCCTATAAAACTCTTTGTTGTTTTTCATGGGAGCTATTAGGATTATTCATTATGCCATTGGCTTGACTGTTAAATATGCTCACCCTTCACATGTTCATGCAGGCTCCCTGGTGCGGGTGGAACGGTTCCAACTGGGTGGTGGAGAGAGAAGTGAAGAGCAGCTTTCCTTCATGGAAGGAGCTGGGAATGCCAGAGTTCATCCAGGAGCGCCGTACTAAGTCAGTATCTCCCTTCCTGTGCAGCTCCTGGTTCTCTGGAGGGGAAACAGAAGGGGGTGGAGAGGGTGGAGGGGAGAGAGATCCCTAGATCTAAGAAACATTCTGTCATCCCTTTTCTCCCTCTAGAGTCTATGTCCTCATTTCCCTGGATGATGCTCTGATCCTGCCCATTCCCAGTCCATACAGTGCTCATCCTTCCACCCGGGGGTCTCCTCAAGCAAAATTTCCCTGCTTGGAAGGGCCCCGTAAAGGGCAGAGCCGGTTATTGCTGCTGTCTCATAAGGAGTGTCTGATGAAGCGGAACTATCAGTCCTCTCAGGGAGCTGGTCCTTTGCCTCCCAAGCAAACACTTAGCTTCCATGTATCAGGCACCTGGCTAGGAGGGATCCAGAGGAAAGATGGGGATGGCTGGGGTCTGCCAGAGCCTGTTGGAAATGAGAAGCAGGATCAGAAGGTAAGACTATATTCCTGGAGCCTCTTTAAGCTCCTTGTTTTCCGACCTCAGGCTTCTTGCTCTTGTTTTCCTTAGGTTTTTCTCCTCTTCTTTGGCCAGTCTATCCGATGGTTTGAGTTCCTGCACCCGGGGGCAGCAGTATAGGCTCATCATCCCTGACGCCTCTGTGAGTCCTCCATTTTATCATACACATCTGTTGCCTTTATGAAAATGGGAGAAAAGAAGACAGCCATGATGTGGCAGAAAATACACTATTTTGAGAGTCAAGAAACCTGAGTTTGAGTCCTAGATCTGCCTCTTTCTGACTTTGTTGCCTTGAGCATGTCACTTGACCTTTATAAATTTCAGTTTCTTCACTGATAGAATAAAGGTGATCCTTAAGGTCATTTCCAGCTCTTACTTTCTGTGATTCTCTAATTCTAAGTAACTGCCTTCAGGGATATAGATCATAGTGACTTAGACGTCTGGCACAAGGGTTCTGTTGCAAAAGGGGTTTGGGGCTAGACCTAGGAGGACCTCTTTGTACTCCTCCCTGAGTGGAGGAAACCCAACAAATTTCCTCATTTTAAGTAGTTTAATCCCTTTTCCGTTCCTGAATTCTTTCTAATTTCCCAGCAGCCCCCAAGTCTGTTAGAGGAGGGGGAGTCCTCCCCTCTTTCCCAGCGGATCCTGGAGTTGACTGGCTATACCTCCTGCCTCATTGTCCAAGATGACTGGGTCCTGGAGCCTGGGAACCCCCAGGGCATTCCAGGTATGCTGGCAATAAGCAAGGGACTCTCTGAATCCTCCCTGACAGAGATTCTCAGTGGCAGGTAAGCATTATATCCCCACCCCCCTTAGTTTGGCCCGATTTTTTCTTCCTTCTGCCTGGTCAGTAAGTGGGATCAGCCTGGGTTCTTCTCCTGCCCTCTGAACCTGTCTTTCTCCTGCCTTCTTGAAGGTCCCCCTTCTAAACCTAGATTTCTGACTCTTTAGCTCCCCAGGCTCATTTGTGTCCTTCTCTGCTGAAATTTTGTCCAGGACACTGTGTGTACCGCTTTCAGAAACAACCCAGCAAGGTGAGAAAACCCTTCTGATGGTGGGGATTTGGGGGTTAGGGAGGGCATGAGGTTCTGGTAAGGTACCGACCCCATTGCCTCTCTTTTCTAGGAAATTTCCAGGCCTCTCAGTGTGGGGTGAAGTTGACCGTGGCCTTGGATGCTGCTGATGTAGCCTCTCAGATTCCCTTAGACATCTACATAGAAGCTCCACACCCACCCTTACCACTGGGGCTGCTTCCAGGGACCAGAGTCTATTTCCAGCAGTTAGAAAGAAAAGTCTCCAGGTGAGCATTTTGTGTGCTCCAGCCTCCTTCCCTTTTCCCAGTCTTGGTATGGGTGCGCTTTACAAAATCTTCTAATTCTGGCACAGTCCAGGGCTGTCCCTGTCAGTCCCTGTCCTCTCTCCTCTTCCCCAGCAGACGATGCTTACTTACAATACTTGCCCCTGCCTCAGTGTTTTGAACCACCCTCCTCTTGGAGGGGTCTCTCCTGGGTGGTGGGAAAGTTCCATGGCCAGCCTCCTTCGGATCCCTCACTCTCCTGTGCCCCCTTCTCTCTCTACCTGCAGGTTCCAAAATGTATATTGTCGTTTTCTGCCGTCCAGCTACCTGCGAATCCTTTGTTTCCCCACTGAGGCTCCAGTCAGGTCAGTGACTGGTCCCTTCTTTCCTTAGTACTCCTGCTCTAGGCTGAGCCCTGTACAGCTTCAGCTGAGGCTTCGGGATGTCCCCACCAAGGCCAAATGAGGTAGTGAAAGAGAAGAGCTCTGTGAGTCATTTGAAGCCTTGGGCAAGTCACTTAACCTCTGTACCTCTGTTTCTTCTGTAAAAGGGTCATAATACTGGATCTACTCAGGTGATTGTGAGGAAACAACTTCATAGATTCTAAGGATCTGTGCACCTGTGAGGCATTATGAGATAGAAAGTTTTCTTTCTGTCACTCTGCCATTAGATAGTCATTCCTTTTCATTTGGAGAAGCTTCTAGATCTAAAATACATATATTCTTGGGTACTGTCACTGCCACTGTCCTGTTTTTCTTAGGTGACATGGTTAGATGTTAGTGATTACAAAATTGTACAGCTGGAGGAGACCCCTAAAGTCACCTGGTCCAGCCTGTGCCTGACAGTGTCCTTGCTAATGGTGTGGTCATCTAGCCTCTACTGCAGCCCCTTGCACTTGTGGCCAGCTATTATTTAGGAAGTTTTTCCTTATGTTAAGCCTTAAAGAGGCCTCTTTGTAACTTCTCCCCATTGCTCCTGGTTCTATCCTTGGGTAGCAAGGTAGCAAAGAAGCAGACCACCTTGACTCTCTCTTCTCCGTGACAGCCATTTGTCTATTTAAACACTCTTGTGGTCCCGTAAGTCTTTTCCAGGTTAAACATCCCCATTTCCTGTAGCCAGTCCTCACATAACATGATTTTAAAATCATCCTGTTTGCCCAGCTCTGGACCTTTTCCAGACTGTCAGAGCTGAACCACAGGTCTGACCAGTGCAGCCTAAGGTAGCATTAACTTTGGTGGTTGCTATCTTGCCTGATTCCCTCTGTAGATCTATGTTGTCATGCTTCTGGAGGACAAGCAACTGCCACTTCTTCTGAGGGTCTAGTCCCCTCTTCTTCAGCAAGAACCTCCTGTTTGTTCCAGGTATTCTTTCCTTTTCCTCGTCACATTCATTCACGTTCTCTCTCCTTCTCTCTCCTGTCACAGGTCAGGGTTTACCTCTGCCTTTTCTGATGCTTTTAATCTATCTTTTCTTTATTTTCACATGGAAGCCCTTTTGTTTTCTTAAGGACCAAGTACTTCATTCTCCCTGATAAACTTGGAGAAGGGAAGAGAGGCCAAGCCCCTTAATCTTCTCTTCTAGGACCTTTGAGCATAGATTATAAGTACTTGGTTATGGCAGAATTATGAACATCACACATTTTATACACAACTCTCCCATCTATACCTTCTAGGAACTAGATCCTCAGATTTTTGTCATTCTTGCTAGTAGCTCTTGTGACCAACTCTTTTTTTTTTTTTTGGCTAGGCAGTGGGGTTAAGTAACTTGCCCAGGGTCACACAGCTAGTAGGTGTTATGTGTCTGAGGCCGGATTTGAACTCTGGTCCTTCTGAATTCAGGGCCGGTGCTCTATCCACGGTGCCGCCCAGCTGCCCCTATGTGATCAACTCTCTTAAAGAACTCATCTTACCTTATACCTTCTTACCTCATTAGCACCTCAACACTCATACCCAACCCTCTTTCCCTGTATTTGTCAATTTTTTCCTCCTCTTACTTGAGTCCTCTGTATTCTCCTTTTCTGTGAGTCTTTCCAAATTACTCTTCTCAGATTCAGTCTCAGGCCTTCTCCACAATTCTAGAACCATAGAAATCCCCATGAAAATTACTTCTTTAGATCATACTTACTCCTGCTTCTGTTCTCAAGCCAACTCTTTCTCACTGAAGCTGGAAGTGAAATTTTAGGAAGTCAAGGAATTAGTTGACAACTATCTAAGACCAAGTTCCTATAGGAGTAAGTGGAAAGACACTTCTATGAGGGTAATTACCCTTAGGACTGGCCCTTTTCCCCATGCTCTGCTTTCCACTCTGTCCCAACAGTTGACCTGATATTCCCCTTGTACTCATTTCCCTTGACCTGCCTCAGTCCTGTTCCCACTTCCCTACCAGCCTTTTCCCCACCTTATTCTTCCTACTACCTTCCTCTTTCCCTCCACCCCCATCCAGTTCTTCTTGTCCTCTCTAACTTCACCATGTTTCCTCCATAGCTCCAGCTTGCCCCATGTCTACTTGGCAGAACTACAGGGAGATTCCCCAGGGCTGACCCAGGCCAGTGCTTCCTGTCATGTAGTATCTGTCCTCAGTGTCCAGCTCTTCTGGATCTGTGCACATTGTACAAGTATTTGTGTCCAGGTAAAACAAGTTATAAAATCATTGAAATTCAGAGCTAGAAGGGACTTTTAGCTGTGTCGCCACAATTGCAGGGGCATGGTGGTTCTGCTGTGGGTAAGGTAGCACATAAAGTCAGAGAGCTGGGTGGGTTGACAGGAGGGAGAGTGAGTGAGGCCTCTTGAGGACAGAGCAGTCTGGATGGGTCTCCTGCCGAGTCTAGTGGCTTGAGTAAATTTGCTTGTTCTTGGGTGCTCCTGTCCAAGAAACAGACTGTTTTGTATTTTGCCTGAGATCTTAGGCAAAGAAATTATCACAGGGCTAAGTACTAATGACAACTGTGGGTTGCAAGATTGGTAACAACTTTTGTTCTGGGGGCAAGACCTCACTGCTTCCTGGTCTTTTGTGCATGTCTGTGTGTTGGAAGTGGAAGAATCACAATACTGTACATTCTTTATGGGAGGAGAATTCAAGGGAAAAGAGGGTTAGGTTATTGAACTATGTGGGTGAAGGATAGTAGGTGTTAGAGGAAAATGTGTTGAGACAAGGATTTTTGAGCCATTTTCTTCCTCTTAGGGACAGTGTAGTCGACAGGGCCCTCCGTGTCCCACACAGGCAGCTGTGAGCCAGGCTAACATCAGGTAAGAAGAGGGTTGGGTGTTTGGGGAAAGAAAAGTGGGGACTTGGACTACAGAGGTAGCTTGAGTCCCTGAGAATAAATGTTTGCATTTCACAAGAGCCCTTTTTCTTCTGTAATAAGGCCACATTAGGCCATTAACACCTCTCTCTCTCTCCCTCTCCCTCCCTCTCTCCCTTCTCCACCCCCTACCCCTATACCACTACTTTAATATACACACACTGACAAATGCCACTTTTGAATCCTGCCTTTTCTATTTAGTAGCAGTGCAACCTTTGCCAAGCCATTTCCCCTCATTTGGCCTCACTTTCTTTACCTGTAAGGGCTTGCAGCACATGATCTCTAAGAACCTTTCTAATAGGAAACCCTATGATCTCTCAGGCTCCTGGTAGAAGATGGAACTGCAGAAGCTGTAGTGACCTGCACCAACCATCAGGTGGCAGTAGCCCTGGGCCTGTGTCCTGCTGAGTGGGACTCGCTGATGGAGCTGGTCAGGGTACCTGGGAGAGTTGCCTTACACATTACCAGAGCTGGGGCCCAGCCTGAGGTCAGACTTGCTGGAGAATCTAGGTCCCAGCGGGAAGGTGGGGGGGAATTTTCGAAGGGAGGGAGAGCTATAGTGGCAGTGGAGTAATCTGGAATTTGAATGTCTCGGCCCTGAATGACTAGGCTGTGTCCTTTTATAGTTCACTGGCGAAACAGATGATTCCCTGATGCTCTTCCTTCAGACACTCTGTGCCAGCCCCTCTGTCCTCCGACCTGTTCTTCTTGCTTTTGAACTTGAGAGGAAGCCCACCAGAGTCATGCCATTAGGTGAGGGCAGAAGATGGTTCAGACATTAAGGTCCCTAAGAAAAAGGAGGGTGGAAAGCCAGCAGCTGGGGGCTACATGCAGTCCAAGGGGATAGAAGGGGATGATCAGGATAGAAAAGATGAAAAGGGGATTGAAGCAGGAGGATTGAACCCCCTACCTTTTCTCCTTAGAACCACCTCGGCTACATCGGTTCCAGTTTGGTGAGATTCCTGTCTTGACTCACATGGTTCCCAGACTCAGCCTCTCCTGCCTTTCTCTCAGAGACCCTGAACCCCCCCACGTCTTAAGTTCCTGAGACACCTGGGACCATTCTTCACAGCAGGACATCAAGGATCTGAATTTATTCAGTGATAGGACTTCAACAATACAGATAGCAACTCCATTGTAACTTAATAGATGGCTTTCTAATCAACCAACAAGCATTTATTATTCCCCTGAATAGCTGAGACTGCTGGGGAAGCTCTACCCTCTAGTCCGACTGAATGCCATTTCCTCCTACCACCTGACAGGATTGAGTGTACCCCACTCTTCCTTTACTTGAATGTGGGCTTTTGGATCCTTGCTTCTCCATGAATCTACCTCATTTATTCCCCTCCCTTCAGCCATGGCCCAGGGACCCTGCAGTCAGGCTCCAGATTGACTCTGGATTTGTTGAAGGAGAGAAAGCCCATTTCTGTCTTAATTTATTGTCCTTGCCTCCTTCTGGTGCCTTATCTACCTGCTGCACACCTGGGATGTGCAGAGTAGCACTGACAAACATGTTCCCGTGGTGACTGAGAACACAGTAAGCACAGCACTTTATCCTCAATAAAACTCGAAGCTGCCTCATTTGAGACTTGTGTTGATGTTTCTCTGTGTGCTGGGGGGAAGGGGTTGGGGGGGCAAGACAGGGGTGTCAGACTGGGCAGGAAGGAGGCATCCAGACCCCCAGCAGAGCTAGTTCTGAACATCTCACCTTTTACCCATCATTCAGTTCCCCCAACATTTTGTTGAGTAACCTCAAAACTCACTGTGCTTGGTATTGAGGATACAAGCATAAGACAAGATAGCCCCTGCCCTTAAGGGGCTTAATCTACTAGGGAAGAAAGGCTTGTACACAAAGAAGTCTAATACCACCTAGAGTGATGTTAATAAAGCCCCCAGCAAAATGCCCCATCCAGGAAAGTGAGGAGAGAGAACATAGAGGACATTGCCCCAGAGCTGAGCCTTCACGTTTAGGAATTGGTATAAACAACAAACATTTATTAAGCATCTATGTTTAGGTTGCTGTGCTAGGTGCTGGGGATAAAAAGATAAAAATAAAACTATATTCCTGCCCAGCTCTGCAGGAGGTTACAAAATGTACATAAAATAGTATTGTGTTATCTATATGTTCTAGAATATTTATAGCAGCTCTATGGTGGTGAAGAACTGGAAATTATTGGGATTCCCCTCATTTGGGGAATGGATGAACAAGTTGTGCTATATGTAGTGGAATGCTATTGTGCTATAAGAAATGATGAGCAGGCAGACTTCAGAAAAACCTGGAAAGACTTACATGAACTGATGCAGAATG